CGGCCCACGCAGACCTAATGTGCTCAGCAACGGTGGAAAATTGATTCCCCAGGACTTGCTGTGCGGAGAGCAAACACAGGATCCGCTGAAGAAATGCCTCACAGAAAAGTCTAGGAAAAGGAGGACTTTATTCCCTTTGGAAATTTACCTTTAGGGATAATATTTTCAGGGCCCAAGACTATAATCCCTATTTTGTCAACACTGACAAGGAGAACAGTCCCAGGGAAGAAGGGAGCGGCATGTCCACGTGTCTGTGTCTAGTTTTGCCTCAGAAAGGGGATGTGGGCTCGCTCTCAGCACCCTCCCTTTTTGCAACAGCCAATCCACAGTCCCTGTGAGGAGCTGCACCTCCCGGAGGAGCAGGAGGGACCTGATGGGAGTGACTCTTGGCCACAGCTCTTCCTCTTCACCTCAAATGCCCCCTCACCTCCACTAGGGAAACTGTATTTAAAACCTTTCAGAATCCTATCTTAATTGCACAGTGTTCTCTGCTGTATGTGATCTTCAGAAATCTTGACTTCCCTGAAGGAAAGATGTGCCAGCAGGGGAACAATTTATCGCTCTCATTAATAATCTTTGATACACAAAGTCCTTCTAAAACCCAACCTAGTCACCTTTTCCTTGAGGTGAAGTGTTTTGTCCCGCAGACCAACGAGGAGACCAGGAGGCAAGTAGGCCTCCCCCCGCCTCCCTACCCTTTTCTGTGCTTCTTGCCATCAGCTCCCAGTCCTGGGAATGTGTTTTGAAACAGGGCCAAGGTGACAGGACACAAGGATTCCTTGCCACTAGGCAGTGAGACAGAGTGGTTTTGAGTAGAGATTTCCTCTCATAAAATTTAAGCTTCAGAATATGCCAGGAGGAGGAAATGCCAAGAGAAACCGTCTTTCCCGGAGCCGCCTCGGTAGGAGGGATGCTACCAGTGTCAAGCACAGCAGGGACAGGGGAGCCAGGCCCTGGAACGTGGCCACGTGTGGTTTTGGGACCTGGGGCAGCTGTTTTACATTTAAGGAGTCAGCCGCTCAGAGCAGTGTTTTGGGGGAGCTGTGGACAAATGAATTCATAACATCCTTTACATCTCTCGGTGCCGTCAGCCCCTTGTCCAGTCTAGACTGTGTACCTCTTTGGGGGGCTATTTGTTTTCCTGAGATGGAAAATGTCCAAAAGAGCAGTGGTTAAGAAAATGCTCCAGACCCAGAAGCCCCACTCTGGGTGTAAATCTCATTCTTGGGAGCCCTTGATTGGGGAAACTGAGGGAAACCTCGGGATCGCCAGTCGCTGAGCGCCTGAAATGCATGTTTCTTTTGCTCTGACACAAGTCAGGCAGCGATCCTGGGTTCAGCACTTTGCAAAGAGCAAAGCAGATGTCCGTGGTTCAAGAATGCAGGTGCGACTGACGCCAGGGGCCTCGTCATCCACCAAATGCCTGTGACGAGCGGAACCCACAGCTCCTCTGCTCACAAGTTTCCTCACTGAAGTCATTTTGGGGGAAGCCAACACAAAATACCAGAATGTGCAGGAAGAGCCCAGCACGGCGGAGGAGGCTGAGCTTTCCAAGCACACAGCAACTGCGAAGGCCTGTTTTTCCACGATAGAGGGGCTCGAGGCCGAAGAGCTGCCCGTGTGTGCACTTCACAATGTTTCACCTGGAATCTCTTTCAGGTTCCATGCAGATGAACAATGGTGAAGACAGAAAAGAAACAACAGAGAAAAGGCTCTTCTCTGGCTTCGGTAATGAAGGCTAGTGTGACCTCCATTAATCATGTCATTGTGCAGCTGAAGGCCTCGCTTGCTGAAAAGAAGCATCAGGCAGGTACGTGCAATGGCCTGGCAGGCGACAGCGGAGGCCCGTCTACGGAGTGGGGAGGACCCAGCGCCATGCTGTTCTTTGCACGCACACACGCTGATTCTGGCTAAGTGGCGCTTCATAAAGCCCTACGCCCAGACGTCCCCATGCCGGAACGGGAGCTGCCAGGTTTTAAAGAACACGGCAAGTCTTTCAAGTGCGGAGAGAAAATGCAATTGAAGATTTAGGAATCCATACTCCCAGTCACCTGGAAGCGCTACTTATTGCTCTCCCTTTTTCTCCCTGTCCCATTGCAGATAGAATTTGGGGATTCTGAAAAGCAACTGGCACCTGCCCAGGCTCACTTCGGGTCTGCAGGCCTGCACTGGCTCCTGGCCTCTCACCTCCTCCGGCTTGTTGTCAAGTCTGCTAACAAAGACCCGCCTGCCAGGGTCCCCTGGCACGTGTACTACATACCAGGTTGGCTTTCATGTGGACTCTATGTGCCATTGATGGTGAGGTTTTTGCTCCCATTAAATATTCCTCTTGGAGAAAAATATAAAATGAAAGACTCTTTTAGGCTCCTTTCTGCTTGTGTTATGGTTTGTACTTTACAACCATAATGGGAATGAGGTGTATAGGACAACCTGATATTTTCCCATCTGGTCCCACCTGTTGACAAGCACCCCCTCCTTCCCTCCCCATGCTCCCAACCACTCAAAAAGCCAGTGGGGCAAAGAAAGCTTGGGCTAGAACATTCTGGCCTTTTATCAGGATCTTGGCACAGACAGTGGGGAGAAGTGACAAGGCTAAGAAGAGTGCCCTTTGGGCAATAAAGACTAAAGGGCTAGCCTTTAAAATAGGGGTCAGTCAGCTACACAGCTTCCTCAAGCCACATCTGCCCTCTGCCTGTTCTGTAAATAGAGTTTTACTGGACCACAGCCATGCCCATCCATTTATATCATCTACAGTGGCTTTTGCACTCTAATGGCAACATTGAGTAGCTATAACAGAAACATGGCCTGCAAAGCTCAAAACATTTACTAATTGACTGTTTGTGGGGGGAAATTTGCCAGTACCCTTCTTAAAACAAATAGAATTTCCTTGAACTTCAGAAAATGCTTGGGCAAGAGAAGTTAGCTAATCTGTGCCAAATGCCAGCGGACGTTTAAGGACAGGGCAAGAATCTCAGAGGCCTAAGGAGGTAGGGCTCTATATGTCATTTTGGGATAAGGAACAACAGGTGGCCTTCCATTTTTCTGCAGCATCCCTTTCATATTCCCCAACGATTATATGTGCGACTGTTCTTTGCAGCTTCACACTCTCTAATTATGTATGACAGTGAGGACTGTGACCGTCCATCATGACATATGTGTGCCCCTTAGATCTTAGGTAGTAAATAGAGAGCAGCTGCCCTTTCTTCCCTAAAGAACAGCCGAGTGTCAGTGTGACTCACACTTGGGTGGGCAGAGGTTATCATGGTACCTGTTGGCCAAAAGCTGGGACCTGGTTCCTGAGGGTGAGGTCAGGTAGATGGCCAGGTCACCCCTCCTGGGATGGGTGATGGTTATGCGCACAACTACATGCTCCAGGTAGTTGACATGGTGGTTGGGGTTATCCGAGCAGCCCGACGCTTTGTAGATGGAGCGCACGGCACTGTTGGGGCGAATTGTCCTGCAACAGAGAGAGAGGGGGTTTGAGTGAGGGCCCTGGCGAAGAGAGCCTGCAGGCCTCGAATAACATCACACAATGTAATACAAGCAGCTGGTCGCTGGACACTCAAGGACACAGGGCTATCACCAAATGGTTGGGTCACTGAAAGGAGTAACACTTTAGACAGTGGGAAAGATGCACTTGAGTGGAAAGGGGGGATTGAGGGCCTTTTACCTTCACACAGGTAGTGCTTTTCCAACGTAAGAATCTCAGCTTATAAAACACAGATTGCTGGGCCCTGGCCCCAGTGTCTGATTCAGTAAGGCTGGGGTAGATCCCAAGAATTAGCATTTCTAACAAGTCCCCAGGTGATAGGGAAGTTGCTGGTCTATGGAATACACTTTGAGAGCCACTGCCATAGAGTACCATGGTCCAGTGAAAGCTTGGGGATTAGCATGACTGTGGGATTTGACCCTGGTCTACCATTTCTTTACTCTATAACCCAGGGGTACACACTTCCTCTTGTCCACAGGTTCCTGTCTTCTTCACTAGCTTCTTTCTGTGCCATTAACTGGCCTCAGTTCAAGTTCTGGGATAGTTTTCCAACTCAGGGCCCCCTCCCCACACCCTCTGCTGTTCCTATGGCTGACTCTTCATGGCCAAAGCTTAAATTTCACCCTGAAATGTCATTGAACCACAGGAAAAATATGTCCCCACCTCTTATTTTCTAACCTTTGTATGCCCAACATTCACTTATTGTAACTTAGAATTATTTACTTATATTTTTTTGACTTGACTCCCACAAGACTGTAAACTTCAAAGGGAAGGAAGCACTCCTCATTCCCCTTAATATCTAGCTCAGTGCTTGCTATTCAGTAAGTGCAAGAAAAATAGTTGCCGAACTGGTAAATAAATTTGTGAATGTATAAACAAATATTCCCACTGATCTCGCTTCCTCATTTGTCAAATGGGAGTAATACCCAAATGTTTACAAACTTTTTAATAAGAAAACACACATGAAGTTTCTAGCACTTGGCATGGCCCTTAATAAGTGTTCCATAAATACTGGTTCACTTTCCACTCCTTTATCTTTTTTCTGTTATTCTATGCCACAGATGAATATGGGGGAAAAACCCCATTTACTTCATTTATTTCTGCTTCCTGACAAATTTTCTCAAGAATTACAATAGCTCTAGTTTTATCATAAACAAAGTCCATAAATATTTTTATGAGAGCCAACTCTCTAAAAAAGAAAGCCAAAAGCAAAATACGAATAAAATCATGAAGATGTATCCTGTTCTGTGGATTCAGCACCTAGGAGAGACTTCACATTCTCGCTAGGTCAACCTTGTCAGCACAGTCTTCACGTTTGTGCAGCTGAAACCTGGGAACGGGCCCTGGGATCTCTCAGTAAACTGCAATCTCATTTACTGTGCATTTCCCCCACTCTGGAGAACTACATGGTATGGAGTTAAGTTTCCAGAACATGCTATTCAGTTTCTTGGAGTACATTCACTTACGAAGAATACTTATAACATGTATGGCAGTGAGGTTTATAAAACACAGCACTGCACTGTTGGGGCGAGATAGAGTAGAAATCTTAAGAATGCCCATCAAGCCCCCCCCCCCCCCATCACCTTTTAAGAGATGCTTTTCTTTTAATGATACTTGGGTTCTACTTTGTGGATTTAACAGCTTCGCATCCCAGACATTCTATTAGAGTTTGTAACTACATTAGAAAAATCTACACAGGGTTTTAGCTTCCATGTGTAACGCAGGGCTATCCTGAGCACTTGCCCTGGCCTGCACTCTTTTGAGACATTGATGTGCTATGTACTTGCGGCAAGCCTTACTTGATTTGTCGGTCTGTGCTCTCTACACACACGTGCTGCTGAGGAACAGTGGTCCACTTCTCCGCCTCCATCACCATGGCTTCTGCATCCATCAGTCCAAATCCATAGAGATGGCTCACTACAAAAGGCAAGAAGCTGGTCAGCTTTACTGTGGTTATGAGCAACCTGTGCTATACATGTTGAGCTATAATTTCATTCAGCGGAGAATACACATCCCCCTAAGGCAGCCGTGGGCAAACTACAGCCCGCGGGCTGGATCCGGCCTGTTTGAAATGAATAAAACTAAAAAAAAAAAAAAAAAAAAAAAAAGACCGTACCCTTTTATGTAATGATGTTTACTTTGAATTTATATTAGTTCACACAAACACTCCATCCATGCTTTTGTTCCCGCCCTCCGCTCCAGTTTAAGAATCCATTGTGGCCCTTGAGTCAAAAAGTTTGCCCACCCCTGCCCTAAGGGATCCTAGCTTTCTTTATAGCAATGATTTAAAACAAATAAAACAAGACAAGTAAACAATCACAACAAGAAAATGAATGTGTATAACATTATCATTACTAATAACATGACTATCATTCATGAGTTGTTTTTACATGGCAGGCACAAGTGCATATTTTTACATTTAAGCCTCCTAACAATCAAGATGTTAATGTGATTATTATCATCGTTCATGAATGAGAAAATTGAGGACCAGAGAGAAACTTGGCTGGGATTGCCCAACAATTCAGTGGTTGAGCTGGATCCTAACCCACATGTTCACTCAAAGACCACTTGTATTCATATGATGATATCATCAATTTTATAAGATAAAGTAATAGGATTAAGGAGAAGTGACAATGTATACAACTTCTAGTGCAATGAGAACTTACATTCAAGAAATGCCAATTTTCAGACATGCCTAGAAGTTAGGTTGAATATTCCAGAAGACATAAATTATTACATTTCCTCTAGGATATGAAAAATTTATTAAACATTATTCATGAAACATTTGGAGGCCTCTAACTTTCATGCCAGCTTTGTATCCTCACATGTTGTAATCTTTTAGTTCTCAATGAGAATACTTATTGGTCTAAAGCTGAATTTGACAGAACTGTCTTAGAAACTTCAATTGCATACAGGCATATTTTAATGATAATACAGCAAGATCAACTTGTGCAGTTCTTTCTGAAAATACTTTAAAATCCCAGTTGAATACTTCAAATATTCATCATGTATTAAACTGTCTCGTATCTTTATATTTAACACAAAGTCATACTTCTACCAAATTTGTTGCCTAAAACACTATCCTTATAACATTAATTACTTTATGCAAATATTTCTAAAGCTGCCCAGGCTTATGGATTATTTAAATACTTCAGCTTAAAATTCCAGATGTTCTATGTTGTAATCCCATTCAATTTTCAAAATAAACTCCTTTTTTTTTTGCTTTAGAAAAGTCATTCCTGTTCTGGAGATCTGATAGTCCCAGTCATATCGTGCTCATTCTGTCTTACCACCTTTGCTCATGCTGGGCCCTGGGCCTGGAATTCCTTCACTACTCTAGGTGAAGAGTTAAACTCTACGCTTACAAGTTCCTGAAGGCCCAGCTAGTCTATCTTCTCTTTCTTGAAATAATCTCTAGGCTATAAAAATCAATGGTTACTGAAATTCAATCATCTGTGATCAGTGAGCTTCTCGCCTTTATAGTGCTGTACCTCTAATTACTTTGTCAATCCATCTGCCCTTCTGCCCAGTCATTTACTCAACCATCCACCCACCCACCCATCCATCTGCTCACTCATCCATCCATCCATTCGTCTGTCTACCCACCCACCTATCCATCTATCATTTCTTGAGTGCCTTCTATGTGCCAGGCACTGTACTATGCACTGCACATTTTATCCGTGCCAACAATTGAATTGATAATTAACTCTGCCAGCATATGTATTTTTACCCCAACTGTATTATAAACTACTTGATGGCAGGAACTGGGCCTTATATTTCTTTATATGTTTCATGGGATTTAGCAGAACATATACATATTGGAGGAAAAAGATATTATACCTTATATATAAAAAAAGAAAATTGTTCGAGGATTAAGAATTATTGCTCTATTTCTTAATAGATACAGAGGCAGAGCTGCCTCAAACA